GCCTGTTTGTCTTAGCAGCACGTCCCCTACCTGTGCAGCCTGAATTAGCACAAGCTCAAAGCTTCCCACACCCAGCCTCACAAACAGGAGCCACCAAGAGCCAACCAGGCCAAGCCAGGCACTAGGCCTTCACATACTGCATCCCCTCAGGAAAAGAACAGCTTAAGCTGATGAGTGACTGGACTAAGAGCTCCTCTGCAGGGGTCTGTAATAGACAACTACATTTAGTTTAGTGCCTCCTAAGCTTGCAAGGACATTCCAGCACAGCTCTGTGTGACTAATGCATTTCTTCCTCCCGGTGAGGAAGTCTCTTTCTTCCTTCTGCTCCTATCCCCACACGGACTCAGCCACACTTGCTATTCATAAAGACTGTCTTATTTATCTTAGTTCTAAGGACCAGAATTCATGACCTCCCCATTCCCACCTTTCTCCTAATCACTTCGGAGTTCACTTTCTGACTGGCATAGGTCTCGTAACACTGTTTCTTCTGCCAAAAGAAAAGAGAGAGGGGGAGAGAGAGAGAGGGAGTGAAAGAGGAAAGTCCGCAAGAGTCCCCTTTGGAACATTAAATGAAATTTCTGCTCTTCAATCAGCAGCACTAGTATGACTTCTCATGAGGGGCGTGTGGTGTGAATAAGGAAATGGTTCCTGTTGTGCGTAATGGCACCAAGCTGGGGTTTGCTCACAGCCACAAGCTCTTGTTAGGAATTACTCTCAGTAAAAGCTCTTATGGTTTGCAGTCACCATCCTCTTGCAGCCAGACTGGTGAAGACCTGAGCACAGTGATCGAGGTGCCCACCTCCGTAGCGAGGGCAGTATGGCAGCAGTGCCCACCTGAGACCTTCTGCAGTGCTCTTCAGCTACACTGGTCCTTGCTGTTCCCCAGGCCCTGTTGTTATCCAGGCCAGTTTCTGGGAGGACAGCACTACAGAGATACGTATTCTCTAAAAATGCATATGCATACTGTCCATTCTGCTTAGTTTCATGAATGTTTCTCAACCAAGTTGCTCACATAAAAAACTACTTGCTGGCTTTTGGAGTAACAACACAGCTCTGAGGACAACGTATCCATAGCAAGCCAAGGGAAGGACTGGGAGATGCATTAATAGTATAAACAGAACAGCTTTGGTTTCTAATAAAGGAACAGTGGGGTTAGTGGTGAGAATTTTCCACCTAAATGATTTATTTGCTCAACTTTCATGAGCATGGCTGATTGCGAGGGCTGAAAAAGAAAGAGAAACAAGGGAACCTGAGACCCTGGAAAAAGGACTTAGAGACACTTGTTGTTCAGAGAAAGCTGAAGAGGAGCTCTAGAGCTCTATTTGATGTACAATGTAGCAAAATCCTCTGGTGTTCTTGTTGCAGGAGTTTGGCAGGGCTTAGGGAATTGTGGTGGTTATAGTACTGGTTTCTGTAAAGTTAGCATTTGTAAGTAATAAAATAACATTACAAGTTTTGATTTTTATTTTTCCTAGATACTCTTGTTCCAGCAGATGTGGGACTTAGAATTTCTTGCATTATTATAAGACTTCTTAAGTAAGATTGGGTGGGGCCCTGGGCAACCCGCTCTAATATTAAATGTAGAGGTTGGTGGCCCTGCCTGTGATAGAGGGTTGGAGATTCATGATCCTTGAGGTCCCTTCCAACCTGGGCCATTATGTGATCCTGTGATTCTTTGAGATGATATTTGGACGGTTGTGTGGTTTATACATTCTGTATTAATCTGCTAAGACATCATCTCATGATTGCCTTCACTGCTGTGATGAGGCCAATTGATTTAAATCATTTCAGTTACATCATACAGAAGAGGGAGACAGACCTTAATAGCAATATCTCAGATAGACAGCACTTCAACAACCACGGACTTTTGCTCTTCGTTCTTCATATACCCAGTTTTATTAGCTAAATATGGCTAAAACTGGGAAGTTGATAACTGGGCACCTGTGAAATCTAGAGCTTTTCTGTCTTGCCCAGGAGGAAGAAAGAGAATTACTGTGCAGGATTATAACTGCATGGCCTTGTCACAGCTGATGTGCTCAGCACTGTTGCTTTGAAAGGGGATGAGAACAGCATTCCTAGGGGCTGAAGTGTCAAGAGATGTGGCTTGCACAATTAATTTACATTACTTAAATTAACACTGAAGCTTTATTATCAGCAGCATTAGCTCTAACAGGCATGAGAAAGATGATACTAAGGGGCTAGAGTGATAAAGCAGTACTCTATGCATGGTTCTGTGGACAAATGAGTATGACTTAGTGGAGAATATTGTCTCTGGAGATCTCATGCCATTTGTAGCTATAAACCACACCTGAGGGCTTGGCTTGCCTTTTGCATTACCAGAATAACTGTCTGAAGCCTAGTAGATGCTAATTTCATTTTGGAGAAGCATCTCAGACCTGCCCAGCAGAGGGATAAGGACTACAGTCATTTTTCTATTTGATCAACTTTCCCTATGTATAGATACGTAGGTGCAAAGATTGATTCCGCAGTGTTGTATTGTAAAGCAGATAACTGTTCACAGCTCCAGACAACAGGGACCAAATATTATGAATAGACTTTGCTGCATCTTCTGCCAATGCTCTAAGTGGCAATGCTGCAAAAATAAGAGTCTTATTATATCAGCTGGTATTAAGAAGATCTTTTATCATATATAGCACACATGACATCTTTTAGGGTTCATGAGCCCTGTGTTTCTTTGGGGTGACTAGCCTAACATCTTCACAGACAGAAGAAGACACAGTTTGATGTAGCAGCCCCTGGTGCTGAGGAGCAGGACCTGCATGGTACTCTTCTCACCTCTCCACACTCTGAGCCTTTCATGCCCTACTCTGGCACAGACCAAGCACTTGAGGCAGCCCAGGTGCCTTCCTTTTCTGTTTAAAACTAACAAAAGGCACTGAATTATCTTCTGGTTCTGGCATTTGTTGCACAGCTTTGTGTTACTTCTGTCACCCAGCTATATGCTCTTCAGAAAGGAAAAGTGCCAGAAAAAGTGCTCATGATTCTAGGAAATGGGGAGGAAAGGAGATACCCCACCCACACCCAACTGGACACTAACTGGAGATAAGAGATCAGCCAACCGCTCTCCTACAGGCAATATGTTTATACTCAAGCACTACCCAGACTTTTGGAGCAAAACCAGTCTAAGAAGGAGGCGTGAGCTCCTCAATGCCCCAAAGTGATGCAGGTCTGTCAGAGCACGAGGAGCCTGCCAGGTGTGGTATGTCTCCTCCCATACAGCAAATAGCAGCCCTTCCTGGGCTGCAGCCAGGACACAGGATGGGGCATAAGGCAGGAGAAAAGCATGCCTCTGGCCTTGAGTGTGTGCTGACAGTTGTTCTTGGAGTTGGAGCTCCACACAGAAATGTACAGCTTCACTTTGTATATTATCATATAATGCTACAGTGCAAACAAAAAAAAGCAGCTACTACTTTCCATTATAGGAGTGCATCTACAGTATTTAATAGGAGCAAACACATGGTGTTTAAAGCTCCTTGGCTAACAGACATCTTCCTAGTGTACAGGTAAAGAGCTGGACTCATCCCCTGCTCACACACACTGTGACAGCTCTCACCACCTCACAGTACTGTGCTAGTGTTGTCAGCCTGCTCCAGCCATGTCCGCAGCACACTAAGGGAAGCAGGCACAGCAGTGTTCTTTTCCAGCTGTGTCTTGGTAGGAAGGAGCCAGAGCTGGGGAAAGCTGTTCCACTGTATCCATTAATTTTTCATACCTTGATGCCCCTGACATCCAGATGTGATCCATATGTACAGGAATGTTAAACACTAAGGTTTCAGTTCCAGCTGAGTAATGCTGGCAAATGGGAGAAGACAGCTCAAAAAGTTATTGCAGCTGTTGTGGCTCTCAGAGACTTTCAGAATCTATCTCTCTCTTTCAATAAATTTAAATGTGTGTGTGTGTACTTTTATGTAATTACACACATATCTATAAAGTTAATTTTATTGATAAGTTCAGAATTGGGGAACTCTATTTTATAGTTCCTGCTTCTGTACTATGCCTACCTCCACAACATGCCTTCCAACAAAGTGTTTTTGTTTTGTATTCCAACTTGGTGGGGATGAAGAGCATCCAATGTATTTTTTTGCTTCGGTTGCGTTTACTAAATTTATAATCATATATGTGCACGTTGTCACATCCTTATGTTAAAGGATTCACAGTGTTTGTACTTACCCTCCAACAAATATTCACCAAATTGCTCTGGCCAAAGTTTTAAATTCCAGACGTAAGGCAAAATTTTGGTTATATGAAGAATCATACAAATTTATACATGTCTTGAAATCAACATCCATAAATTCCAGTCTAGGTAATTATTTCATTCCCATCTCTCTCCTCCAAGCTCCTTATCACATTTTTCTTATTTTATTGCGTTCCAACACAGCTGATGATTTCTGTTCTACAAAATGCTGTATTATGCAGGGGCTTATCAGGGAAACCAAATTTCTTCACACAAAAGCAGAATTACCTTTTCCCACCATGGTTGTATGTTCCAACTACATTTATTCTGAAAAGGAGGGAAGGACATTTTCTGAGCTATTACTGTACTAAGAAGTAGCTTTAAGGAAGTTCTGGGCTGCCTCTTGGGTTACCTTTGGTATCTTAAGGACTTTGTTGTATCATTGCCACTGCTCTAGCTGCCACCGTTCACCCTGCCTGGTGTAGATATTTTTGTTACTTGAATACCATACTTACATAAGATATATGCCATTAGCCTCAGCAGCTACAAGTCAACTACAGAGAACTGAGTTATTCACCAAGAAAAAACACAAAACGCTGCACAAACCAGGAGCTGGAGCACTATGCTGAGACTTCTATGTGCCTGCCAGATTGGAAACAGGCAATACGTGTGGCACTAACAAAGATCTGCAGAGCCCTGAACACCATACTTCCATGCACTTCTCTTAGAAAAACAAAACTTCACAGCACGAGTTTTGCTAATAGCATGATATGGACATATGTGGAAGCTGAGAAATAGCTGCCACACATTCATAAATTGCTGCTTATTTTCCACAGCCTTCATGAATTTGCTGCTTAGCAAATACTGCTATCTGCCTGCTGAGCTGTGCAGTGACAATTCTGAGCAACTTCATTTCTCTTCCTTAGGAATCATGGTGGTGTCCTTGTTTCCAAGGATGGAGGCTTCACTGCAGCAAAATGGCAGGAGAGAGACCCTCACTGAGCAAGAGATGAGCTGCAGACCCCTCCAGTCTGGGACTGCTTTCTGCAGCCCAATACCCTTCCAGAACCATTTTGATTGCTGTATTCAGCTCATGCTAGTACCATACAGCTTTCTACAGCATTTCACTCTATCCACCAAGGCATGAATCTTTGCAAAGGAGACACTCAGCAGTGTTTGTCAATCTCCTTTCACATACACTCACCATCAGGGACTAAAGCATGTTGTATCAAACTTCTGCTCTTAGGGTCTTTTGCATTCAGAAGTTTGACTGTGGTGAGCCTGCCTTTTACAGCATGCTTGTAAAAAGCCACGGACAAATGCCAGTTAACAAGCAAGCACTGGGCTGATGCAGTGCAGTCTGCCATCAGCAGCCTCACAAGCAAAGTGTTCCAAATGATACAAAATCTATTACTGTTTCAGAGTGAATTTTTCTGAACTTGTAAAAAAACCGTCTTGTGTAAAGGCAGGAAATCACTGGCTGTTTAACAGAGGCTGGATTCACAGTCTAGCTTTCAAATTTTAGCCTTTAATTGCCTACAGAATTTACATCTAGAGGAAAAGTTTTGCTAAGTTCAAATACTTCAGAGCGATGGCAACGTTCCCTCTTTTGTACCAGAAGAACTCTGATGATATGCCAAATGTTTAAAAAATCTAAAGATTAGTTTCAACATAGAAGAAATCAGTAATTTTCTGCCTAGTTTATAACTACAAATGTGGAACTGGCCTGCCTCCAGTCTCTTCTGGGTGTGTTCCTGTTATTTATCGAATGTAAGACACAAATGTTGTACTCCACTCTCTAGTCTGAATTATGGGGTGTGATTTTCTAGACAAAAACAATGCACATAATGTTCCTCTTCTCATGTAAGTGCATACACCCTAGTGCTGCTGTTCCTTCTGCACAGCACTGACAAACAAGGCATAATATTTTACTGAGCCACATACTGGTAATTCCTCCAGCACAGACATTGATTGTTTTACACTGAGGATAATGAAAGTCAACCGAGCAAAAACATTTTAAGCCTCAGAGCCTTTATGCAGAACGCAGAGCTGCACCCGACATCATGCTGTCACAGAGCAGTCTCTAGTTGCATGGTGTTGGTTCCTATTTATGATATGCTACGTTATAATTTAACAACAAACGGATTTAAGATTCAGCTAAGACTATACTACTTATAATCTCAGACACACCATGTTTCAGAAGAATATATTTCCACTCAAGCAGTCACATATGTGCTGTGACTGTGCCACCGGTTCCATATCCTCAGATCAGAAGCAAATATTACCACTGGAGGAGGAAATGTTACCAAAATCTCAAAGAACTTGGATGCCTCCATCACTGTGAGAGAGGAAACCTTTGGCTGAGAAATGTATTAATTCTAGTGCCCCTTCTTTCTAGTGCCTTCTTCTTTGTAGAAGACAAGACAGATAGTAAAAGGCAAGTCAAGTGAATGTGTCTATTACCTTCTTCAAAGTGGTTATTCTTCCAAGGGAAAATCTGTAAGTGGGTCTTGTTGGCCTGCTAACAGCCAGAACAATAAACTCAGGCAGAACCCTCAGCTCCGCTTTAACAGCCGCCTGCCCCACCAGCTCCTCCAGCTGACAGTGCCAAATCATCTCAAAGTGTATCACCCAGAAGAGGCAGACACACGTGCTTCAAATTTCAATCACACTTAGCACAAAGTCAAGGGGTTTAAGAAATGGGTAAATCATATCTAGGACAGTATGTTCATTAGCATTCATTTTACTGAGCAAGCGAAGTACTCCTTCTTATAGCAATCTAGATTACATTGTATGTAGCACATCTGCCAAGAGTTCTACTACCTTTCATTTTAACTTCTTCAGGAAATGTAGCTACTGAATGTTTTATCAGTGACTTTTGCAGCTGGTAAACCTTTGAAGGCAAGTTGTGCAAGGCCTACCTTAAAATAAAAACAGAACAAAAGAGGAATCTTGAGTGTATAAGGGATGTAGGTCACTATTAGTACAGAAAGTTTAATAAACACAAATGACAGTGTTGTACATCAGGTTCCTTTCGCCACTTCTGTAATATAGCAATAACATGAAATCCCCATGCTATCAAAGTGATATCAAAGAAATGTAAACAGTCATAAATACTTGATGCTTGGTAGTTTCTCAATTTCTACTGGTCACATTCAAACAAAGATCAAGACAGCTGAAGAGACTGATACTAATTTTGCAAGCTGCTGCATGCACAGAGCTTGTAGCTTCAGACACAGGAGCTCTAAGTGGATGAACGATCTGTGCTTGTGGAGCATTTTGCATGAGAGGTCCTTTCTCAGGAAAATTTGGACTAGTTGCACTGACTAGTGGAAACTCGTTACTTGTGATGTTAAATTATCTAGGAAGCAGGCAGATAACACTAACTGTCTCCCAGAGTGGTTCCCCAGAGCAAAATCACTACATTGTGGAATAGCTTCCTACAAGCATTTAAAATTTGTATAATTGCAGATTATTCTCAAAGGCCCTACAAAAATGTTTTCTAGCTGCACAGTTTAGAAAGTCACAAATAAATGCAACAGTATTCCAAAAATCTACTTTAATCCCCCATTTCTCTGTCATTTTGTTTGGCTAACGCTTTACTAGAGAATGAAATAGCAGGAAGCTGAGTAATTTTGGTTGTCATTAAAGTGTTGTATATAAACACGAAAATTCAGAGTAAGGCATTCTCAACAGAAGCTTGAGGAACATACATTTTCATGCCCAGCAGAACTAATATTCTAGTTTCTTCCCAGAAATAGTGGAATGTTTCTTGCATATAAATCCCCAAATACTTTTTAAATTTTACAGGTAAAAAGCATTATTTCACACAACATTTTTTAAAAGCACTGGTTTGGTATTTCCTTCCATTTTGCCTACTATAGGATTATGAATATGGAAGGAAGCAGTTCAAAGAAAATCATGACATACAGAAGACACTTACTTCCATAAACTGAATTAAATAGTATTTGTTTCAAATAACATCTAGAAACACTGTAGAGATGTATATGAAATATACATATCATGGTAGGTAGTTATTCATCCCCATATTTTTGCCTGCCAGCATTACTGCAAATAACACGGTTTCCTTGACATGCCTTATGGAACAGTTTATTATTTTCATAAGTAGTCACATGCATTGAAGGTAGAATCACCAGCAGTGCATTTGGCACCCCAAAGCAGAACCAGAGAGGTCAAGCTTACGAATCTGTCCTGCTGAATGACAAGTTGGCTGGTGTATGAAATGACAGATCTCAGCTGTAATAAGGGAGTGCATTGACTTAAGACATTTCTTCTGGAGCTGCTTCTGCTTCCTGAGTGGATTTCTCTTCAGGCTTGCTGTCACGGATAGGAGATGCACTACAGCTGGGCTTGTTGCTGTCATGAGCGCTGTGACTGCTGGCGCTGCCAAGACGAGTTGATGCCACAACAGCTTTTACTGCAGCCTGAGAAAGATAGGATCATACAAGCATTCTTTAAAGGATATAATCTGCCAGCATTACAGCTATAGAATCACAGCTGTGGCAGCCACAGCATCCCGGTGCTGAGAATACAACGCTGCTTGTTCTTCAGCAAAACTTCATCTAGATACCTCCAGGACAAATTTAGAAGGCTATCTGATGTATGTGACTGCAATTTAAAAGAACTGCTTTTATAATGTTACAAAGTTGGCCTACATGAATATAAATTTTATTTCAGCTGCACACACAGCATTGTTTTTGAAACTGTGTCAGACCTCTTGCTCTGAAGTTAGATGGCAAAAACAAAGCTCCTTTCAATCGTAATAATTATTATCATTGATGTATTACTTTATTATCATTGATTACATAAGGAAAACATATATCTACATATACACATATATATATTCATACAGACATATATACAAGGGCCATTCTGAAAGTAACGCCTCCTATATAAGGGTGAAGGTGACAGCATCCTGGATTGTATCACTACTGGTGATGGGACACAGTGTCACCACTGGGCCAGAGTCAAAGCAGAAGTCTGTGGAATGGTGACATATGAATTCCCCATAAATGAAGAAATTCAAGATGTAGCCTTCAAGAGTAAAGTGATGTGTACTGTCTTTTGGGATAGGAGAGGGGTAATCCATCTGACTTTTCTGGAACAACCAACTTTGACTGCCGCATCACAACACAGACTAAGCCAGGCATGTCTAAGCAGTGTTCTGCAGGCTGCATGCATTCCAACACAGCTTGTAATGCGGCCCACCACTGGCGGTGACTTCTTGTCAAGTGGCCATGTGTGCATCCACTGCTCACAGTGTGCAAACTGCAGTGTGCAATCTGCTCTGTTGGGGCTGATACAAGGGCACGAGGAGGGTGCAGTGCAGCACTAAATCAAATTATAGCAAACAACTGTATGCACTGTAATACATTGGCTGAACACTGTCCTGTGAATAGAAAAAAATATGCTGCCATGCTTTCCTGTTTTCATACAGGAATTTGAGAACAGGCTTCAAGACTGCAAAAAAAATATTCATTTTATGTTTGCAACTCCATTTTCAGTTATGTGAATACATTACCTGCATGGTTAATAATGCAGTGCATGAAGCTGCAATTAGATACTCAACTCAAAAATGTGATGTCTTTTTAGCAGACTTTTATAAGACATTTCTTACCAGATATAACTGTCCCTTGCTTCACAGTCATGCCTTATTCATATAATCACTTTTGGCAATTTGGACATTAGTGAGCAGCTGTTGTCAAGGATGAAGTAGAGGAAAAATAAAATTTCATCAATAATCTCTGACAAGCACCTTGAGAGTTCACTGAAAACTGCAGCCACTGCTATTGAGCCAGACTGATGCACTAGTTCACAAAAACACAGTCACATATCCAACTGGTTTTATGTTTTTGTTGATATCTCTAGTATATATTTTACAAGGGCTAGTTTGAAAGTAATACCTCCTTTCTTTTTTTTATGTTGGACCACATCAGAGGTAGATGTTGTTGGTGTTAGAGGCTAAACCTTCCCACACATATTCTGTTCCATTTTGCTGCTGTGTGACAGATGGCAGCAGAGGGACAACCTGACAAAATGGTGTTTGATGTGGAACTGCAGATGAAAAAAAGGTGTATCTTTGAACTCTTCCATTTAAAAAAAAAAAAATTGCACCCATTGACATTCACTGATGCTTGCTGAACACATACAGAGACCAAACAGTGGATGTCTTTTTACCAGACTTTTATAAGACATTTCTTACCAGAGATAATTGTCCCTTGGTGGGACAGTTATGGTGGCATGTTTCAGCAGTGGTGACACTGACAGTGGGTCACCTCCACTGGTGCAGGTTTTGAAGAGTGTGGCATGAAGACTCTTGTTCACTGCTGGTGAAAATGCTAATGGTGGTGAGTATGCTGAAAAATGTTTTGTTGCTGAGAATTTGCTCTATCAAACAGAATTACTGTATTCATTGTATCTTTTGTCATTTCCAAGGAAATAAAGAGGAGGCATTACTTTTGCAGCGAGCTACATATTTACACACACAGGCACACACACACACACACACAAAACAGTAAATGTGGGGAACAGGCTCTCATACCACATTAAATGTCAAAACATGAGGACACATATTAAGGCAGTTATCTTAGCCCTTGCTTTTATTGCCTGCAAAAAACCAGACGTATGGAAGTAAGGAGAAGAAACACTGATCTATAAACAAACCCTAGATATTGTTGGCCTGGCCAGCAATTTGCATAGGGACCACAGAAGAAGTAAGTATGCATGAAGGAATAACAAGGAATGTACTTGTGATGGTTTGTGATGGTTTGGAGATGCAATCAGACAAAAAGAAAAAAGAAAAAAAAAAAGGAAAAAATCAATGTGCAAATGAAAAAGCAAACTACATAGAAGTTGGCATCAACGAAGAGTCATCTAGTACAGAACATGAAGTCAAAATGCACCAATAAATGTGGCAGCAGTTTTGAAAGTGTCAATAAGTCCAGACTTCTTAAAGGGAAATCATATGGATCCCCATTAGAAAGCATTTCAGAAAACAAGATCATCTTAATGCAATTTACTCTCATTAGGCATGAGGATATTTATGAAACAAATTCGACAGAATCTATGAAAAAGCAAATAATCACTGAAAGCTTTAAAATTAAGTAATAATTTAAGTGCTAGATTCTGAATGTGGGATGGGACAATCCCAGCTGTACGTACAGGCTGTAGGACAACAGGTGGGAGTGCAGCCTATGAAAAGGGATCTGTGTGCTCTGGATAACAGCAAGTTGAACGTGAGCCAGCAGTGTGCCCTGGCTGCCCAAAGAACCAACCGTACCCTGGGGTGCACCAGGCCCAGCACTGCCACCGGGACAGGGAGGGGCTGTCAGCTGTGCTGTGCTGTGCGGCCTCACCTCCAGCACTGGGTGCAGGTCTGGGTGTCACAATGTAAGAAGGACATAAAACTGTTAGTGTCCAAAGGAGAAGATGGCAAAGGGCAGGGTGGACATTACATGTCAAGAGCCACCAAGGTCCCCTGGTTTGTTCAGCACAGAGCAAAGGAGCTGAGAGAGGCCTGATGGTGGCTGCAACTCCTTACATGGAGCAGAGGGCGCTGAGCTCCGCTCTGTGTGACAGCGACAGGGCCCGAGGGAACGGCATGGAGCTGTGCCAGGGGAGGGCAGCTGGGGGTTAAGGACAGGGTCTGCACCAGAGGGTTCTGGGCAAGGTATGGGTTGCCCAGGACAGTAGGCACAGCCTCAAGCTCTGGAGTTCTGGGAATGTTTGGATAGCACTCTCAGACATAGCGTTTTGAATGTTAGGTGGTGCTGCATGGAGCCAGCAGCTGGACTCCATGATCCTTGAGGGTCCCTTCCCACTCAGAATATTCTGTGCTTCTATGATTCTACAAATTATTCTGTAACAACGTTCCTTTATGTAAAGAAAACCTGCTACTGGTCTTGTAATTGGGACAGAGAGGGTAATTTTCTATTATTCTTACGTTATTAACACAATTAAACCTTATTAGCTGGTTTACTGCTTTGTTCTTTTATGGGTAGGAATTAATTATCTAAATACTTAATGCTCATTTTGTATAAGTATGTTAGTATAAAACACCAACTCTGTAATAACTGTTAACTCTAGATAATTCTTATTAATATTAGAGATTTGGTTGTTTAATCTTTGAGCAAAAAGCAATGAAGAAATAACCTTACAAAAAGCAACATCTGCTAAGCACAGAGGTATAAAATTGTTGACTTTATCAGTCTGAATAAACTAGGCAGCTGGTGATCAAAAGTGCAAAAATATGTAGAGAATCAATTCCAAGTGTAGAAAGAGAGGATGTTGTTCTTTTTGACCTTCTGGGCAGAGAATGTAACAGCTCACTCATAAATAATTAATTTTACGACTCTTTTCAGTGCTCTTGAATAATTTCAATATAACAAGATTGCATGACATCTTTGGTGAATACACAGCAATCCTGCTCTTAGACTACAGAAATCTTTTAGAAGGGAACAGTGTTAATACACATGTCACCAGTTCTGCACGTGCAAAATATCACTGTGAATTATATCTTCCGTGTCCTAAATGACAAAATTTTTTCTTTGCTCTTTGTCATTGTACTATAATAAAACTTATAAAAAATGAATAAAATGAAAATTAAGGGTCATTTCTCTGTGTATTTCATTTTGCACGGGGTTATAAAATTCACAGACAAGATGCTTTTTACTCTTATTCCACAGGGCTACAAAGGTAGCCTAACTCTAGTCGCTGAGCTTAATGATCCCTGTGCTTAAGCCATCTTGGAAGTCTTTTCTAAGCAGACACAAATCTTGAACAACTGAAGAAAGGACAAGGGGAAAAGAAAGTTTCTTGATGTTTTGTCAGTTAGGTGCTCAATCACCTGTAATTTATTATTTACACATGATAAATCTTTTCCTCCCTCCTCTCATGGTAGATAAGTAGATTAGATAGTAAAGGAGCAGTCTGATGACTCAAAATTCTCGCTGCAGGTCTTACAAGCATTCTTGCTTTACAGAATTTAATCTTCAGATAAATAATTCCACAATTGCTTTCACAGATACTTGTAAAGTTTTGGCCTGTTAATCACAGCTCAACACCTTGTATAAGGTGTTCAAAATGCTGGCTCTACTATAATGCCATGAGTTAAATTCCTGCTTTGCACTGATAGATGTAGAAAATGTAGGTGGCTTATATATCAAACGCTTATATGGTAGACTGTGTACTTCCCGTATTTATGGATGAATATCTCATGAAAACACCACTCAGCATTTTTTTCATTCTTGTCAGCACTCCAAACATACAGCCAGCACTACTAAACAAGACAGACCAACAGATGGAAGAATAGATGGATGGATGGAAAGATGCATGGAGAGAAGGGAGGTAAGAAAGAAGGAAATGATTTGGGGAAAGATGTTAATATTCTTGGCAGCTTTGTTTGTGTAGAGCTTTCAATCAAATCTCATTTTTATTTGCCAGCTGCAGATATTAACTAAATAATTTTTGACTTTTCCACCTACATTAGATATTTTATATAAAAAACTTTAATACGTCTATATGACATTACTCTGGAAAGTCTACAAGACCTCTGTAGTCTACTGATTTTATTGCAAACTTTCAAAGTCAAAATAGAGACTAAGTCCAGAGACTTGCCTTAAGTTTACGCCGGGCATTGAATTCTTGAAGCTTCTTTTGTGCATTGTCCATGTGTAAAAAATTTGCTGCTTTTCCTGTGACCCATGGGTGCTGCAAAGCCTGTAGAGTGGTGAGGCGTTTCTTGGGATCTAAAACAATTAACTTTTTAACCTGCATCACAAAGACAAAATAGAGTAGACTGCTAACCTTACTCCATGTACATACTTGCACCCTGTAATCACTACCAGATGTAAAAAATCAAATGCTTCATTTAGTCACTATATAACCGTTTGTAAACATGAACTAGAAAGTACTGTGTAAGTATTTATTTTGTAGCCCTCACTGAAGCTAATGCTATCTATGCTATTGCTTTTGCTGTCATTACCAGGAGGGCTGCACATCTACGAATGCAAGAGTAGGAAACTTCTGGGAGGGAAGTACTGTAGACATATCTCTAGAATGGAGATGGTGCAGACTGCTAGGTGCAAAGTCCAGACAAGCTGCACTTCATGGCGTTTTCTGCATGTTCTGGAAAGGTTATTTTATTTTATATATTTTTTAAGGATGCAGATGGAGTAAAGTAGCGTAAGGACAGTACTTAGCAGCAGTACATTGACGCAGATTTCCTTCCTATATAAATTCTGAGAATTGCAAGTGACAGCACAGTCCACTGCTGCTTCAAGCCCAGGTGTGAAAGGTGGATTTACCTCAGGTTCTCTGAAATTTCCTCACAAAGAGCTTTTAAGCAGTGGTCTGACAGTGCCTGACATAGAAGCAAGGGAGCAGCCTCTGTGGCATGTACGTACTGTGAGTCCATTGAAAAGGTAAAGCTAGGCAAATCACAGAATCACAGAATCACGGAATGCCCAGGGTTGGAAGGGGCCTCAAGGATCATGAATCTCCAACCCTCCTGTCACATGCAGGGCCACCAACCTCCCCACTCAATGCTAAACCAGGCTGCCCAGAGTCCCATCCAACCTGGCCTTGAACACCTCCAGGGACGGGGCATCCACAACCTCTCTGGGCTGCCTGTTCCAGCACCTCACCACTCTCTTTGTAAAGAACTTCCCCCTGATGTCCAACCTTAATCTCCCCTCCCTCAACTTAAAACCATTTCCCCTTGTCCTGCAGTTATCTACCCTTTCAAAGAGTTGATTCCCCTCCCCTCTGTAGGCTCCCGTTAGGTACTGAAAGGCGGCAATGAGGTTACTCCACAGCCTTCTTTTCTCCAGGCTGAATAAGCCCAGCTCCTTCAGCCTGTCTTTGTAGGGGAGCTGCTCCAATCCCCTGATCATCTTTGTGGCTCTCCTCTGGACCCTCTCCAACAGCTCTCTGTCTTTTTTGTACTGGGGGCTCCAGACCTGGACACAGTACTCCAGATGGGGCCTCACAAGAGCAGAGTAGAGGGGGACAATCACCTCCCTGTCCCTGTTGGCCACCCCTCTTCTGATGGAGCCCAGGATCCCATTTGCCTTCTGAGCTGCAAGGGCACATTGCTGGCTCATGTTAAGTTTTTCATCTATCAAGAGCCCCAGGTCCTTCTCCACAGGGCTGCTCTCAAGGACTGCTCCTTCCAGTCTGTATGGATGCCTGGGATTCATGCTTCAAAGCATGAATTTTGAGAGCCATGGCTTCCATCCTTATCTGAAGCTTGTTACACAGTGTTCAAAAGTGAAACTGTGAGCTTTACTATAGCAAAATGGTAGAAACCAGTTTGGACCAAAGCTCTTTGTGTACACAAAACACATTGTTTTGCTGCAGGCTGCTGCTTGTCTGACTTCTGATGACAAAAAGACAGTAGATGGTGCTTTCTTTAGCTTATGAAATCTTCAAATCTAATTAAAAAATACTCTGAATTTCTACAATGGCTTTCACTTGAGACATCCTGAAATACTTAATAAACACACCAATGCAAGCATTTTTATGATACTGTTTGTACAAGTAGAATGGAATTGACAATTTATATCTTCAGTGTCAGTGAAATAACTGAACTGAGGAAGTAACCAAATAGGTATAATGCAAAAGATTCTGCACTCTCATTTTTGTTTTACTTACTAAATCCTTGGCATTCAGAGACACGTCATCCCACCAGGGGGACACAAAGTCATATTCACAGTTCAGGGTTCTCTTATATATGTACTGATCTCCCCTTTCATCATAAAATGGTTCAAAGCCACAAAGTCTGCAAAGACAAAAAAAGAGATAAGTTTATCAAACATTACTTGGTCTTATGTTGCTAGAAATAGCTCCTGATTGATCTTTCCCATCTTCATGACCTATGCCCCACATTGGGAAACCAGGCCAGCATGCATACAACAGAGCAAACCAAAGTGATGCTGTAAGCGTTCACAAGCACTGGCAAAGGCTGATCAAACTGAGTATCTTCCACCATCAGTTATCTGTGATTGGAACAATTAATATAGTGACAACGTAAAAGTAGCTATAAAATGTCATACCAAAACTTCTTTAAGCCCTTTAGCCTCTAACTATCTCAAGTCAGATGTCTAATGAGGAGTACAAAAACTGTGGCTCAGGATTCAACTTCCATGGATCTTCAGTCTCTTGAGTTTTTCCAGTCATTTTTTGAGCTAGCTGAACACAAGCCAGAAGTGTGCCCAGGTGGCTAAAAAAGCCAATGCCACCCTGGTTTGTATCAGAAATACAGCAGTAAGAGGGAGGTGATCATCCCCCACTGGTGAGGGTGCATCTCAAATATTGTGTTTAGTTTTGGGCTCCTCACTACAAGACATCAAGGCCCTGAAGCATGTCCAAAGAAAGGCAATGGAGCTGTGAAGGCTCTGGGCACAAGTCTTTTGGGGAGCAGCTGCATCAACAAGCATTGTTTAGTCTGCTAAACAATAGAGAAGGCTAAGGTGAGACCTTATTGCTCTACAACTGCCTGAAAGGAGGTTGCATTGAGGTGGGGGTTGGACTTTTTTCCCAGGTAGCAGTGATAGGATGAGAGGCAATTGCCTCAAGTTGTGCCACCGGAGGTGCAGGCTGCATATCAGGAAAAATTCTTCTCAGAAAGAGTGCAGAAGTATTGGAATGGGCTGCCCAGGGAGGTGTTGGAGTCACCGTTACTGGAGGTGCTCAAGAAATGTGAAGATAGGGCACTAATGGACATGGTTAGTGGGTATGGCAGTAATGTTCTAATGACTGAACTTGATTATCTTGGAGGTTTTTTCCAAAGTTAATGATTCTGTGACTCTATCCTGTGGTCAAGCACATCAGAGCTATCTTCACTCCTTGGCTGAAATATCCCACTGAGCATTTTCATTCACTGACCTCCACACTTGCTCCCAGAGCTGATGGAGCTGATGGAGCTGATGGAGCTGATGGAGCTGATCTCCATTTACCTTCTATATGCCAGAAAGCACTTTCTTGCACCTATTCTTTCTGCAGACCTCTGGCTGAAAGCACTGAAATTATTTAGTTACCCCTTTGTCTGAATCCTTTGCTCTTTCCTGCCCTTTTTTTTGAGTCTTCTTCAGTGTTTTTTAAAGAATATGCAAATGCTGTTCAAAAAGCACACTCTCTTGAGTTTCATATTAGCATAAACATGCTTCCCATTTTGATTTCAATTTCTTTCCTAGCAATTCTTGTCCTTGGGCCTGCTTGTCTGGATTGTTTGCAAACAGAAAGCATGTTCAGACAGTAATTAGCAGAACCCCTGTATCTTCTCCCTGAGAGAAAAAAAAAAACAACAGCAGCAGTTCTTCATTTTGTCTGTGAAGTTAGAAATTTTTATCTATCAAATTTGGATTGTTACCATTGTACATTCTTTCATTCTATCATTCAGGTATTCAGTAATGTAAAATCCTTTGGCAGTTTTTCGTTATCAGCTCTCATCTTGTAACTTAAGCATTGTAAAGAAGTTTTGCAATGACACTAATGAGTGCATTTATGAAAATATTGAACAGTACAGATCCTGACAGATCCGCACTGTTAATCCCAGGGAAAGTAAACTGATAGAAATAGTTTCTACTGTATTATGTATATTACAGTCTATTATATAACAACATTTTTGTGCTTTTCAATCACGCCTCCACAAATAATCAGATGCTTCAAAGTGAATTACCTTTTCAACTAATAAGTTTTCTGAGTTAAACAAAAATTCCATCCACTACTCTGTCCCTGGAAAATGCAACAAGCAACAAGATGATTACAGGAAAATAACAGGAAAATGCAAAACAACAGATTGAAATCTAGGTAACTTTACATTTTAACTTGTTTTTACTTTTATTTTTAAAGTCAATCAGTGTGCTTACTGCCCTGAAAAAGGAGACAGATGTTCAAGGAATAAATGTGTTTTTTTGAGAGTGGTATTCAGCCTGAATAGCTGCATCACTGCACTGATGCAGAGGAAAAATTCTCTACCACAAGCACATTCTGGATGTGTTACTCAATTCCATGTTTGACAGAGATGGCTTATAGTATAAGGATTCAGTCTACAAATACAGGAGTTCAGTAGCTGGGAGCCAGTCATGGTCATCCTACCCCTTCCCTTCCATTTGCCTTTCTCAGAACTATATTTGAGCTTGTTTCAGGTTGGCTCCTTTCCCTAAGGAGTATCTCCATGATTACAGCTGTCGGACCACTAATAGTTCAGCCAAAATTAGCTTCTGGTTACCAGGTAACTGATTACATATAGTGTAATAGTGTAATTACATATAGTGTAACTGTACTTAAAGCTTGCCCTGACTGTGTTGGAAGTCTTTAAAGTGAGTCTCTATTTATATCTAAAAATATTTTTATCATAACTCACTACTACTGCCCACTGTAGTCTAATTAAGAATTCCTACAGATACATTTCCACTTCTCAAAAAATCTCCATTTCATTAGGCAGATCATTTGCAATATGCCATATTATGTCAGTAAAACTAAATATTTGGTTTCAAAGTAGATAAATTAAGTCAGTGAAATCCAGCATGGCTGCTCTCGATTTCATTTATACCAGGATTATGCTGATTCATTTTAAATCATTTATCAATACAATAAAGAAAAGTCAGTGTAACAAGGCTCAAAATCAATTAGAATTTACCAGACAAAGCTTTGTGTTCTTTTCAGTCTGCTGGTAAAAAAAAAAAGCACAAAACACCTTTATCCACGCAATCCATGCAATCCTGACTATAAACAAAGCCTACATACTTGTTGATTGCTATGTAGCAAATGCACAATATTATCCCTCTTTGTTGTTAAAATTATAAATGTGACTTCCCTGGAATTCTGAAATCAGAGTCACTGTTCTATCAAGTATGGGTCAAAAGTTGTTTTAATCACCTGATACATGAAGTCTGTACTGGTGAGAAGACAGAGGTTTATACACACATCTTCTGTAGCAAGGTAGTTAACTCCATTTAGTTAAGGTAGCCTGCTCCATTTTAGGGGAACAGACAACCATATATTTTTGGACTGTGTGTATGCTCATTCCTCCTGCTAAAATATGAAACTGGGACATGAAAAATTGTCCTTTAGGCTGCAGGATTAATAAATTAGGTATTGTGAAGATGCCTTTCTGGTCTTAGCTTTCTAAACATTCAGAAATGTTGATCTACAAAGCTTTACACTAACTGGAAGAATACAACTGTGGAATGTAACAAAGATAAACAGAAGAGCCAATCAAGTGCAACACAATACTACCCTTTTTTGTCTGGCTACTCCTGTAGATCAAGTAGTATTTTGATGGGGAAGTATGAGGAGAAGACCAGGAGGAAAAGCAGAGGATTATCTGCTCTTGTTGTGTTGCACAGCAGGAGCTCGTATGCTTGTTTGCACCAGTGCAGATACTTAATGAAGCCTGGAAGCATGTCCTGAACAGCTGGAAGAGGTAGAAAGGCTGTCCATAGCAAATAGCACACCACGTAGTATAATAGAAATCCGGTATATGATTTCACTTGGAGATTGACTACACCCAAAAGGAAGCTCTGCTTAAAGAAGGCTCTCAATTTCAAGCACAAAATCTATACTTCAATTATTCAGTAGTCAGGCAAGCCCATGCCTTAATTCATACATCTGTGGAGAGGAAAAGCACTTCTCTCATCTCAGAGACAGCCATGCTTACATCTTACATCTCATATCTCTCTGTTAAGTATGGGCCATTAGAACTGATGAGAAATGGTCAACTGGATGAATAACCCACTCTTTCACCAAACTCAACCCTGAGTCTGAAATGTGGCCACGTTGTGGATGACAGCAGGGCCTGTGCCTAACCTCACAGCTCTAAGACACTTCAACTTTTACACAAATAAACGGTATGAGCTGAAATAAAAGTGGGAATTACAACTATGTTAGCACTATTAGGACACTGAGTATAAAGAAGAGACAGAATTCGAGGTGTAAAACAGACCTTGAGACAAAGATTCACATTTAAAAGTGAAAGCGAAGATAACAAAACTGTAACAAAAAATGACAAGGACGGAAAGCATGGCCTCCAAAACTCATCATTAAGACACGTATGCATTTCCTGACATATCAGAGAAATACTATAGCTGATTTTTTATTGGACAAATGAGAGCCATTAATTATTTGAAGCTCATGGATAGAGGATGTTTTATATTATTTTCATCAGAGTTTCTATATACCCTTAAATGTAATTCTTGTATAAATCCCAGAAAATATAATTATTTCCAGAAGGTAGAAAGAAAATAATTGCATTATTATGCATTGTAATTGTGGGACACAGTTAGTGAGTCCTAGAAGGGGAAAGAAAATGGGCCTAAATATAGAAAACCTTCTGTATTTTTAATGTGTATGTGCAAAATCCCATTTTTCTCCTATAAAAGGCATCCTGCTAGCATCATATACAACTACATAAGCCAGCTTAGCATCTGTGTTGCCAAGGGAATAAATGAAGTTATTCATTCTCCCATGAAGACAAGTGCCAATACAAAAGACATAATTCTCCTTTATCAAAGATCTTCGTTTGAAAGATTCCATTGATAGAATAACATAACTGCAATACTTAGCAATTGAATTGGGACTAGCTATATTAAAATGCAGCCATAAATGCTTACCTCTAGATGCAACTGTTGGAAAATGTTGGTCTACATTTGCAATTTCAGCTGTTTCTGTATGCTCACAGATAACAGCTGAATCTCTGGATATTTTGTAAGACAAGGAACGCTTATTTTCAACACTAATCATTTAACCAATCAGACTGTTGCAATGACATTGTTCAGGGCTGCCCGCTGCTTTCTGACTAAAATGGGGCTGAATCTATGTTTGCAGAGGCATGGCAGCATCAGTGGCTGACACAGGAATGTGTCTTTGAGAATGTTCAGGGGTACTGTAAAGCTATTGCATGCACCTTAGCTTTTTTGTGCCCCATCTGTAATCGAAAAGCTACTTAAAATTATGGTACATTTTAGAGTCTGTATGAATGAGAAAAAAATGTACACATTCTGACATTTATATCCTTTTTTTCCTTCTGCTTTCAGCAGCTTGACTGCTTTTCATTCACATTAGTAGTACAATTCTGCACAGACCTTGCTGCTATTCAAGATGAAATGTTATATTCATCAAATATGTAATCTGAATATTTTCCATGCTCCCTTAGCATCTGACTTCTTTATACAACTTTAGAAATATCACAGCTCAAGTTTAGCATCTCTTCGTTTTCCAGCAGCACAGCTCGCACATACTGCTCATACATAGTGCATAGTACGTAGTGCATAAAGTCATACGTGATTTTTTTAAAACAAAGGAGGCAGCTGCATACCACCTTATGACATCTGCACTTACAGAATGTAGGTGATGATCCCTAGAGACCACATGTCCACTTCGGGGCCATAGGCACATCCTCGTAGTATCTCTGGTGCTGCAGATGATAAAAGTCTTGTCAATAAGATGAAATTCGAACCCAGAAATTACTGTCACAAAAGTCACCAGTATAAACTCAGTGCATATCTGCAAGCATCTTTGAAACAAGGTCTACTCCTTTAAATTCTTAGTTAGGCAGACAATTCCCTCCACTCAGCATAAAGAAATAAAAGACATGTGCAAGCAGTGATAGAATAAAGTGCAAAATGAATGGTGAACTTCAGAGACAAAGAGCTTTTTGGATTTAGGTTTGCAAAAGTGAAAGGAATAGCTACACAGCACTGCAGCTGCAATGCGACAAAAGTAGGTAGCATTCTTACTTTGGTATTTTATTTATTTACTTGGTACTTTGAATTTTATTTCTGAAATTTCAATTGCATGAATATTTCTAAAGTTTATGAGAAACACTGTAAGTGTGCTTTATTCCACTTTACCATTTTCACCACATCCCAGTATTACTTAATTCCTTTTACAGCCTACCTCTTCCTTCCCTATTCCTTCATTTTGATTTTTCTCATCTGTGGTTCAGCTTTAGTCTACTCGAGTGCACTACAAGGAAATTGAGCACTGTGTCCCTATGTCAGGTGTGGGACAACAAGTATGGCCACCTCAGACATGGATCTTTCCTTACTTTCCTATAAGGGAGTTCATCCCTAAAGAAAGAAAAGAGCAAGTCAGGCAATTGCTCTTGCTGCATGTGTGCAGCAACATCCCTGCAAAGCAGCACTTCCCAGAGCATGACCTTTAGTCTTCTGCCTCCCTGATAGCCTCTGGGCAGCTTGCTCAGATTTCTTCAACCAATCTAAAAGAACCAACCAAAAAGATCTACCATGCCAAAACATACCAAGTATTTTTACAGATAATTAGTATAGAAGGCAAAGTGCATTAATCATCAGGTTTTGCTATATAGTTATACTTGGGAGCTGGGCAAATGCTTCCTACTGTATGCACTAGAAAAAGAGATATTACCTAATGCCCCCTCTGCCATATTTGCTAACCTCATGCGGGGCGCTTTGAGCTGTAATTCTGTGGTTCTGTGATTCTGAACAAGACAGGACAGTTTTTATGTTTATTGGTTGATGTTATTCTTCTAGAGGAAACAATATTTCTAGTAATATCTTCTTGTTTAGGATAAGGAAGAAGACTTCCAGTCCTTTTCGTTTTCTGCTCCTTCCACCAATACTCTGTAAAATGACCACAAAACAGCCCAAAAACCTATATGCTGAGGTCTGCCTTGCTATCTGGACCATGATTACACAGTTAAATGATTCCCCTGTAAAGTTTGCTTGCGGAGAATGGACTGCACTGATTTATTGCTGTTATTTTAGATGTTGGCAGTAACAGACATCCATGAATCACTGGTCTATGTTGCATGGTTTTCTGTGCTACTGTAAGCAATCCCCTCCTTCTGAAGTTCACTCAAAGGACAACGACTCAGCAAGTTAAATTCTTTGTGTCCATCTTCTTGTTTCCAGATTTTCTGCATTACTTCGCTTGTTGCAGGCACTGTGAGATGGTGAAGTCTTGATTCCAAAATATCCAGGCTCCAAGTGTATGTTTTCCTTGCTGTGCCCTTTCTGAAGAAACAGCTGATGGGAGAGTGGGCAGGATGTGGGAGCTGGCTGCCTGAGACTATCAATTATTCATAGTTTAATTTGGCATTCCAACAGTACTCCTTCTGGGTTTCTTCCACTTCTGGAAAGTAACACTGGATTATCTTCCAAGCACCAGGAATTCTGCATGGTCAGTTAACTCAGATCATAAGGCAAGAATTGCAGATTCACGTCTGAAGGAACAAAGCTCCTTTCACACTCAGCACAGACATTCCATCTCACCTCTCTTACCGAACCATCTCTACTCTGAGGGCTCTTTTGTGCATAAAAGCCTCATAATATTTTTAACAATACATAAAGATAGTCATTTAAAGGCCTAAATTATAACAAGAGTTTTATGACATTTGTAGTCTAACAGCAGTGAGAGAAAACAACAAGACTCAGAGTACAGTCTTATGACACTAAGTAGATAGGAATTCAGAGCTTCTCTAAAGCATACTTGGTATACTTGGCACCTATGTGTGCTTGGCAGACTAAGACATACAAGCCAATAGACATGTTACCTGAATGTCATTATCAGCTGGGCTACAAGCTCATTAATTTCATGGTCTTCTCCACTGTCTTCTATCCTTTGCTTCTACGCTTGAGAAGCCAAATATCAAGTCTTTAGTTTCCACCCAGCCTGGCTTAGCTCCATCCTAAACTACCTGATATGCTTACCTGCCAGTACACTCCCAGGAAGCTGAATTCAGGACTAAGAGTTCATTAAGAATGATGGAAATTAGTTTCTCCATAGGATGACATGGGTGCTAGAGATGAGTATCCACCATGGCAATCATAGCAAGTTTGCTGTAGGCTACCAAGATCACCACTATCCTTGGCTATCAGCTTGTTTCTTGACCAAAAGCAGCTAGCAGTGAAAGGTAAGTAGAAAAGGCAACTGCAATGCTCTTTTTCATGAGAGTCTCTTTTTGCATGTTTTGGCTATGGAGGATCCACTTCTGGTGCACTTTCTGGCTGTATGAATTCAGGAGAGCTTCTCCTCCAGGCATCCACAAGGTGGTTATTGCTCTGTCAGCAAATGTGTGCATGTGACAGCTGTACTGGCAGCCTGGCAGCATGCATGGTATGCCCCAGAGAAAGCTGCTGGACAGTCTGTGAGGCCCCTTTCAGCACTGATATTGCATTCATTATTATACTGTATTGCATTATTGCATAACATAACATAACATAACATAACATAACATAACATAACATAACATAACATAATGCTACGCTACGCTACGTTACGTTACATTATGTTACATTAACAATTATATCAATTATATAGGTCCTGCTCTGGCACAATCTATGCAAAACTGCATTTAAAACCATATATTATTAAATGGCTAAATAGTTTGGGATTAGGGGGTTAAATTATGAGCTGACTGTAAGGGATAATTTGATTTCCTCTGCATTAGAAATAAGTTCCTCTGCATTTAAGATAAATTCACCATAATTAATATTCAAATATTTGTAACCTCCTCTATGTTTTTAGTGTTTTCCATTATGCCTTGCATTGTCCAAATTTCTGGAGATGTTTCTAAAGTACTGTATTGGTAGTGTCAGCATTTTTATGATGGTTGGACTTATTTCTGTTCAAGTAATGAACTTGTACTGTAACATAGGTTTTGATTAAGCTTCAGTATTGGAGGGTGTATATTTAGAAAAATTGAATATGGTCACAATTCTGAATTTCAGTTTTCTATTTATTTCTTTTTTAGATTCTTTTTTTAGATTTTTTTGAATTTTGACTTTAGGAAGAAAAATTTCACCTCAGACAGAAAAAATGTAACATTCTCACATTAAGTACAGTAAACTGCAAATAACAAAACAACATACCGCAGTACCCTGGAGTTCCACAAACTGTCTTCATGGTCACCTGATCTTCCACAATCTTGGAAAGCCCAAAATCAGCTGTTAAGATTTTTTAGAAATATTAGTGTTTTTACTTCCTTATAAAATAATGATTGTTACATTGCACATGTAGTTAAATGAGCAACTATGCATTAAATGTACAGTACTGTCATTTTGAGAAATGATGGTCAGTTGAAGGAACCTGCCCAGACTGCAGTGCAGAAGCAAAAAACTGTCTGTACAAATGAGTATTCTTGGCTGACACAAATGTGACTTGTTTATTCTGAGGATTGCACATAGGCAATATAGTGAGATGCCTGGTTGTAAAATCAGTGATGCAGAAACTTGTGTTAGGCACATATCCAGCTTTCACTTTGTCAGTAATTCAATAAATACAATAATTCAATAAAGTAACAGAAGAGAACAGAATTTTTGTCTGAAAAATCATATTGCAGTGATTTCTTGAACAATTTTGGTAATGACAATCTGTCCTTAAAAATACAAAATAAATGTATTTGTGTTTTGTTACAGTGAATATAAAAAATGTACATTTTGATCAGGATAAAAGCAATTCATATTTTATTCTATACATTTATTGTTAGCGTTCCCTTATCCCTAAAATGTTCAACATTATGTATTATAGTTGATCTAAGCAGTAATATATTTTACAAATACTGCCATCCACAGATCTATCTTTACGCAAGGCAATAAGCTTAATCAAAATATAAAGAACTACTCAATTTAAGAACAAAGTACAACATACTGTCTTTCCATCCCTCACTGCTGTAGGAGTTGCAAGATATACAGCACCTATACAAGAAAGTGTGTGTAGTGCTGGATTTGTCACACAGAGGGTGTAATTTTGAAAATAGCCCATCTTATTCCAAAGTAGCCTATTTTCTATTTTTGTTAAATTTTGTAGGTTTTTAATGTCAGTAAAGTATAGGTAGCAGCTATGTCTTCATATTTCACATAGAAATCTTGCTTAGGAGAAATAACTGTAGCATTACACCTAAGCCTAGCTGCCGTCTCAGGATGATGATTCCTGCCATCTCTTGAAACTGACTAAGCTGAGCTAGTTAAGTAGAGCTATCTTTTCAGCAGAGCAGCTGTACTTTCTTCTCACCTCAGTTCTATCTAATTTGTGATTCACTGATATGGCAGCACCTTTGGAACAGGCTGGCATCTGAGACAGAAAAGGGAAGGAGGGGCTGAGAATGGGGGTGAAGATGCTGCTCTTCTGAGGATGAATGCTCCAGAAGCCCATACCACTAGCCATAAAACCATAGCTGCTGGGTACTACATTAAACTATTACATGTAACAGTGGTTCAGAGCCACGAGAAAATGTAAATGCAGATACTAGCATCCTGAGATGCAATGCTTTCCTAGAAATGTGTAAAAAAATTCTTAAAAATAGTTTGTGGAAAAACTAGCTTCTGAAACCTGTGATGAACACAAGCATAATGAATATGGAACTTTCACTGCTCACATGCTCACCTGCTCCCTGGCAAAGGAGCACAGAGTGGTACTTCCAAACAGACAGAGCAGTGAATATCTGGAAGACAATTGCTGGAAAACAGCACATGACAGAATTCTTTAAGAAGGTGAGAGCAGGAGCCTCCAGGTTTTTGTTCTTTTAGTCTGCACAGATCAGTCCTTTTCCAGCTTGATATATCTGGAAAGCCACAACCCACATCCCACCAGGGAGCCCTGCACTGCTCTTTTTGTATGAACTAGGTCAGCAGCTGTCCATGGCTGAACACAACATGATGCCTGCTGGATTCCTCAGACCTCCACTTTGCTACAGGAAGAGTGGGACATGCTCAGCTTTTGGAAGTCAACTGACGTATAACATCCTCACAAGGGAGAGCCTGACCTCTCCTCCTCCTCACCCCTCCCTGTTGCTGCTTCAGGGTGCAATTCCTGTGCCCTATAACGATGAGCATTTCTTCTCATCCCACAGGTCTGCCCTGAGGACATACTTGGTTTGTTTACTTTCTTCTCTTTTTCTGCAAACTTGCACTTATTGTGTCTATGAATCTTCTCCCTTATAATACTATTTTAACAAAAAAAAAGGACACAGAAGTGGTGCATACAACTCACTCCATGATCCTTCTTGTTCTACCTATGCTCTTATTGTCTACAGTTTTCTGCAATATTTAAGCTGTAAATTAACCACAACAAGAATTCACTTCTGTGTTTGTTTTAAAACACCATGCACCATCATGTTTCTGAAGTAGTAATTTACTGTTCATTTGAGAATAAGCATTAGCTTAGAACAAAGTGATGGTAAGAATTACATACTTCTAGCACATACTACTGGTAGGAAGTAGTACTACTTCCCTAAGAAATTAGGGAAACATCTATTTAGCGCTGTTTACCTATTTTCAGTGGTGCATCTGGGGCTGGTGTTGCATAGAGCAGATTTTCTGGCTTCAAATCACGATGCACAATCCCGTTTGCATGCAGGTACTGTAAAGAGAAAAGTAAAAACATTTACCTGATCATAAGATAGTACAGTCAAGCATGAGTTAACACCTTCCTAGTAATCTATAGCAGCAGTCCACTGACTGCTACTTCTGTGACATGAAGTCACTTAACCAACTTCCAGCATCTTTTTATTGCAGACATTCTCAATATGGGATCCTTAGAAGCACACTAAGATCAGAATAGGAAACTGCAAATTGGGAAAGCAAAGAAGACATCATGTTCATTTGAGAAGAAAAGCTTCTCAGAAAACATTACTGACTTTTTAATACAGAGAAAACTACTAGGAAGTAATCTAACAAACGCAGAGATACAGACATCTGGCTGTCATAGTTTTATGATTTTTGATTATTGGTACCTGATCCAGGTCTATAAATATCTGAGGTGTGGGGGGCAGAATGGCGAGGCCGGACTCTTTTCAGTGGTGAGTGGAGACAGGACAAGGGCAAACGGCCGGAAACTGCAGTATAGGAAGTTCTGCACAAATGTGCGCAAGAACTTCTTTACAGTGAGGTGACGGAGCACTGGAACAGGCTGCCCAGGGAGGTGGTGGAGTCTCCTTCTCTGGAGATGTTCAAGACCTGCCTGGATGCCTACCTGTGCGACCTGGTGTAGGGAACCTGCTTTGGCAGGGGGTTGGACTCGATGATCTCTGGAGGTCCCTTCCAACCCCTACAATTCTGTGATTCTGTCATTCTGTAGTACTCCAATCATATATTCATGTAGTGCACTGGAAGCTGAAGTGTTAATGCTCCAGTTCCGAGTACATGTCCCAGAAGAGAAGAACCACTACGTTCCCCACACGACTGCTTGCTGTGTTGTCATCATTTCTGCTCAGGGGGAACAGATATGAGGCCTTGGTAGGTCATCTGACCTCTCTTTCATCATCAGGCTCTCCTCCCTGCTCAAACAGACTGTGCATCTCACCTCAGTGTTACGGTGAGGCCTTTCCACCTTTCGGGCACTCTCTCATTACATTCGATTGATTATTCAATTGTAATTATATTATGTTATAGTGTGTTATCTTGCATTCCGATACCATATTTAGTAAATTAGTTTGTTTCTTCTCAGATTGCTGCCACTGCATTTAGTTATTTTGGGTCCCCTGTTTCCCATTTCTGGAGGAGCAGATGTGCGAAATCCCTCTGCCCTGCTAGTCATGGAACCGGGCTGAGCCAGCCCACAGACTACTGGCACTGGCACTGGCACTGGCTCAGAGGAAGGCAGATTCTGTATATTATAATATTATGAGAGATTAAAAAAAAAAAAAAATGTCATTCAATTAAACTGTTAGACTATCAAATAGACAACACAGATAAGAAAAGATGTAGCATGTGTCTTGTATAAACTATTAAAGACTTACAGTCTCTTTTGCAATCCTAGGTTTCAATTCAACACAGTTGTAGACTCTCAGGTTTCCAAATGTCTTGCTGAAACACATGCAGTACATGCAAATTCACTCATCACTGGATTCATGTAAAAGCATTCCTGCCTTGCAGTAATGAAAGAAAACACTTCTGGGACATCCGGCCACCTTCCCCGTTGCAAGAGATGGACATTGACAAAAGGGGCAAAAATGGTGAAATAGAGAAGCAAATTCTGCATTTCTTGATAAAATCTTCAGCAGAAATCTCTAAAGAGATGAAGAATGATGTTTAAGGGTAGAATCTGAGCATCTTAATTGAAGATCTCCTTGTCTACCTTTAGTGGAATCTTCTCTCAGCCAAGTTTCCAATGTTGGAAAAAATCAGAGTGTTCATTACTATGCAGAAAACAAGATTTTGAATATTTGTCTGGAAAGTACATTCATAGCGTTAAGTTAGACTCTGAGATGATTTTTTGACTGTGTATCTCTTAGTTTGCAAACCATAGTTTGCCAGTTGCCAGTGATTACATAACATAAAGAACAGACAGCTCTTTCCTTGAGCATCATTTTGGTGACACTGAATGCTTTTAAGTGTATGTTTTGTATAGTCTAATTTCTTGTCACAGCTGTGTTTTCTATAAATAGGTGACTAAGTAGTTATCCAAGGTAAAAACAGACAACAATTTAAGGAGTCTTCATGGACAACATTCTGCTACATCATTTATTGTGGTCATATCTGCATAACTGAAAAAAAACTGTGTCTAGCCTGGATAAAAGTACATCTTTATCTGACAGTGAAGAGAATCAGCAAGGATGCTCTCAGAGTTTATGCCACTGACATGTCTGACAAACAGAGGTAAGCAAAGAGGAAGCACCCAAAAAATGCATCAAAAGCAATCACATCAAAGTGGAGAGGAAGAGGATTCTAAACTGATCTACATTCACATCTTGCAAATCGGTTCAGCTGACTGTTGAAATGAGAAGAGTAGATATTTCACAATCACTGAGTGGAAAGCAGCAACTTCCAATTAATTTATATGAACTAGTTTAGACCACATTTGTGCAGAGAAATGTTCCAGTCAACTTTGCAGAAAGTCTTTTAGCAGGTCATTTTTTATACACACGTAATCTTAAAAACACTATGTGGTGTGAGGCTGAAAATATCAAAAATCTCTTAGTCCATTTTTATTCAAGGGAAATTTGGGAAGCTCTTTGGAAAAACTCTACAACTTTTCCTCTGCTAAGTCCTGACAGTCTGACTCCCAGGGCTTCATTTCATGATTTGTAATGAATTTGCAGTGTGAGCTCTCTTTTTATTATATGCCTGTAAGAACACTTGTAAGAAAATCTCCTCCTCTGTTCAGCCTGCAATTAGCAAAAAATAGGAGATGCAGGTGGCCGTCAGATGTGAATTCCCCAAAAAACGTAGTCCACACCTTTCAGAAACTGCCAATACAGCAACTCCTCCTCTGCGTTCTCTCCTCACAACATTCCAGTTCTTTCTATCCACTCTGCCACATCTCACCTTATTTCCCCAGCATCCAAGACAAGATTTCCTGCCCATCCATAATAACATCCTTACCTCCTCTGACCTCTCCATGTGACCACATAGGTTCTTTCATGGTTGCTGAAATCTCTCTCAGTTGTCTCTGTTTTGTCTTCTTTCTCCCACAGACTCTTTACTTAATTTTATACTGGTGGACAAGATCTGGTACTTGTCCAGCAAAGACCCACAGGTATGCTGGCATGCCAGCCTGATGCTGTGTCTCCCCTATTGGCAGAAGTAATGTGTGTGGATTGGGCTGCCAAATCAGACATTTAACAGATGTCCTGTGTATCTGTGCAACTAGTATACCTGAAGCCTAGCCTGCTGTCAACTTATTGATGAGGTTGACTGATAGGGTTACTAGTTGTGTTGTAAATCAGCAGACAAAAAGGACAAATCAAAAAACTCCTACAGTATTTGCACTAACACAGACAGCCTGTTCTTCAACAACCTAGAAGAAACAATTAGCTTCATGTAACAGCAGACTTTCAACAGGAAAGATCTCTGACTGGAGTTCTCTATGATGTACCGGCATCCAAACAGCCTTGTTACTGAATGTCTCCAATACATGCAGAAACTCTACTTCCTTCTTTTCAGCCTAATTCATCACTGTGCGAAGAAAAAACAACACAGCTGGGGAAGAGACTGGAATATAAGATTTAAAAGCAGTGGTTGGAGGAACTGGGATACTTTAGTCTGAAGAAAAGGAGCCAAAGGAGAGAACTGATGACTCTCCTTGACAACCTGAAAGGAGGTTGCACAGAGGAGGGAGTTCATCTCTTTTTTCAGGTCACAAGTGACAGGAGGCAAAGAAACGGTCTCAAGTTGCAACAGGAGACGTTTAGATTGCATAACAGGAAGAGTTTCTTCACAGAGAAGGGTGATCAAGCACTGTGATGGGCTCCCAGGGTAGCAGTAGAGTCCATATGTCTACAGGTATTTAGGACAGGGCACTAAGAAACATGGTTTAGCAATGGGACTTGATAGGCCAACTGGCTAGTTGAACCTTGGGCCTTGTTAGTTTGCATCAGTCCCAAAAACCAAGTGAAAAGCATCCAGAAGCCATCTACTCATTATGTCAACATAGTGGCTCCTAGAATTGACCATTACTTGATAATTGTGTTGCATTTTATAAAGTGAACAGTGTTTTGAATTTTTTTGTGCTTTAGAAATTTTTAGTGACTTTTTTAGGGTCCATCTAGAAACAGATTAATTAAATTACCATAACTCACACTCTTACAATTGTAATAGATATTTCAGTTTACATATGCTTTATTTCTCATATATTGATTTTAATGAATGGATTTTTCCTTTTTAGTGCCTCTGTGGCATAAATTCAAAGATAAAGATCTTGCTGTCTTCTAGTCTACAGTACAGCTTTGGGCATTACATGCTGTAACATTAGCAGAATAGTTAACCTGTGTTCTTCTACTTACATTCTATGTCTCTCAGTGGTTAAACAATACATTTAAATGCAACAATCAGGGACCAAGTGTCAAATTAGAACAGGTACTGATTCACCTCATAATCTAGGCTTTGGTGAAGTACATAATTTTTCCCATCTGTAAGTTACAGATGAGACTTGAAAAACATTTTAATTCTATCAATGATTGAAGAGTTTTTAGATGCACAATGCTGTATGAACATTTAATAGAGAATGCATGTAAAATGTGATTGTAACATGAGGAGAGAGTCTTCCAGTAACTAAAAAACCTTGCTTTCACTTTCTTTTGATTTTCAAAAGGCAATATTAAACAGTGAAAGAAAGTATGAGTATAGCATTTGTCTGATTGCAGCTTTGCTCATTTGTGTTAGTGAAATAAGGTGGACACAGGGAATTTAATTTTACATTATGATGCTGTATTTCCATGGCAACATTACATGGCTATACTTAGAACTAGCACGCCTTATAACATCTACGTACTAAAAGGTAAGACTGACTTACAGCAGCATTTCATCTGACTGACGAGATGTAGACAAAAGAGAGGACAGCGCATGGCCTATGGAAGGAGTCTTACAGAAGAAGTACTCTCAGTGTGAAACAGCTTCATCAGATAAAGCAGGCCCATGGCA